CAGGGTCCCGAGTGCAGAAGCTTATTCCCACTCCGCTTCTGCCACCTGTGAATTGGGTGACTCCTCTGAGCCCCAGAGTCCTCACTGAAAGCTCATGACCCCTCTCTGGCCCCGACTCCCCTCAGAACCAGGGATGGGGGGGGAAGGAGATGCTCCCCTCTGCCCCCACGCCTCGCCTCGGCCACCTGCGCCTCCTCCCAGGTGAGGAAGGGTCCTGATGTCACGAGGCCCCTCAGGGTGGGAGGGAGGTGGACGCCTCAGCTGGGCCGCCAGCAATGGCTTAGGCCCTGGTGACAGAGGTGTCTGGTCTGCTGGGACAACGCCAGGGGAGGAGGGTCCTCCTGGCCCTGCAGTGACAGCCACAGGAAGTTCATTCTGTGCTTGCTGTTTGGGGGTCTTGGTACCCGCTGAGAACAGGAGATAGGGACAGAGGCTCAGGAGGCGCCAGGCTCCCAAGGCAGGAGTGGCCTTGTACCTACTGTGCGCATCTTGGCCGTGCTCTTGTACCTACTGTGTGTATCTTGGCCGTTCCTGATTGATGGACAGAGGCCTCTGGATTCTTGGACGCCTGGGCCCATCCACACCCACACTTTTCAGAAGGGCGAACCACCCACTTTGCAAATCGCTGCGTGGCAAAGTGCAACTGGGGGGTGACACTGTGGCCCGCTCTCTGTGTTGGGCCACGTGTGTGGCAGGTGGCCCAGCTCTGCTTCCCACTCCCACAGCTGTCCGTTGTCCCTGCTCTGAGCCCAGAGGGACAGCTGCCTTCAAGATCTTGGTCAGCTGATGCTTAAGGCTGGGCTTTAGGTCAAGGATCATCCATCAAAGAGGGGTCACGGTGTTTGTTACTGGTTCATGAAACTGACCAGAAGCCAAGAGGCCAACAGTTATAAAGGGGTTAAGAAGGCTCATGGTCAGCCACCCAGCTTCAGGGCACATCCTGGGCTCTCCCCTGACCTTTGAACCTGGACCACCCGAGTGGTCCCTGCTGGGTCTTACCCGTTCCCCGTGGGTTGCTGGACTGAGCGCCTCAGTACCTGGCCTGGCTGGTGGCCAGAGGCTCTCTGGCTTCTTTCCACCGTCACCGCTCCCCACATGGCAGCGGGCTCACTAGTGCCACCAGTGGAGACCGTCACAACCTTACGCACCCAGGCACCTGGCTGAGTCCCATGGATCGTGCAGCCTGCGTATCAGGGAAGGGCGAGAATTCACCAGAGCGTGACCGCCGGGGCCATCTTGGATTCTGGCTACCAGCTGGAGGGTGACCAGGGACCTCTTGAGCGCCTGGTGCTCACCGAGTCCCGTCCAGCAGGGAAAATGCTGCAGCCAAGAACCACCAAGTGCCGGGTGTGCTTTCCCTTCCAAGTGGAGGGTTTTGTTTAATTATGTTCTGATTCCGTTTTCCTGGGCATGTGAGTCAATCAATTCCCGTAAACACGCCTGCCCACACCCACCCGCCCTCTCCCAAGCTGGACTAACCCGGTTCTGTTACTTGCCACCGGGGCTCCTGGCCGATATGGGGCACGGATCTGCCCGGAGGCCAGTTGAGAGCAGCGTGAAGGAGATGAAGGCTGTGTTGGGCGGGGCCGGCGGGCGCTGGACTGGCTGCCCAGTGGCGATGGGCAGCCTTGGGTGGGGAGGACACGTTCTTCTCGGGGGAGTGACACCTCCCGTCTGTTGTTTTGTGCATGACCTGGGCGCAGAGGCCCTGGTCAGAGATTAGTGTGTCTCATATATGAAGGGGTCACACTCTGCTGCGTGTCAAGGAGGCCTCAATTAGATTAATTACAAAGACTTAAAAAACCATCTGCCTGCGTAGGTGAGCCGCTCTGGGACTGCCAGGAAACTGTGCTGCAGGCCTGACTCATCCAACAGGGCTTCCCGCGACCCCCATGCACCCTGCCGCCTCCAGCTCTCCACGTCTCCAGCCCCTGCTGGCGTCCAGCACCCTGTCCAGTGCCCTTAGGGGCTCTGTTCTGGAAGGAGCCTGGCTTCCTGGCCTGGTCACCGACATGTTGAGGGGCACATTGGCCTGGTCGGGGCTTCTTCCCCAACAGTGAGAAGCAGGACCCATCTCTCCACCACCTTCCAGATGAGCCCATGGTTCCCGGAGGAAGGAGGCGTCTGGACCCAGCCATGCAGACGTGAGACCATCTGGTGCTTAAAAATTCTGGCATGAAACATGAAAACCCAAGTCATCTGGAAACCTCAGCGGGCAGGGGATGGCGGGTACCAGAGTCCTTCAGCCAGATGTAAAGGAGAGGAGAGACCACGGCTCCCGCTGCCCGCCGAGCATCCCCTCCCTCTCCCCCTCTGCCGACAGCCTGAAACAGAGCCACGTCCTCCCTCGGCCTCAGTCCACTGAGGAAGCCCACCAGGTCCGTCTGGGTGCCCGGGGGCTGTGCTGGGCCTGTCCACCTCAGGTGTCTTCAGCTGCCATCACTTTCCTGATGGGAGATGCCAAGGTCAGAGGCTGAGCTTGCAGGGCCACTAGACAGCCACCGTGGGGAGCCTCTGGGTGGTGACTTGGGGCTCCAGCCTGGTCATCCACCTGCTGTGGCTGACCTGGGTGACAAGAGCCATGGGTGAGGCCCAACTTCCCCAACTGGTACTGAGGCAGGTCCCGTGTGGCCCTGCTCTGAAGATCAAACCAGACCCCGACCTGAGGCTGTGGGCCCAGGGTCTCAACAGATGGCAGTCATGGCCCTGATGGCCAGAGCTTGGACAGGCTGTTGGTGGGCACTTCTCTCCTTTGCTGGCCACCCATTTCCTCCCCTCCACCCGCCGAGTCCCTGTCCTGATGCCTGACCAGGGTGTGCCGGGCACCGACACAAGCAATTCTGCTAGTTCTGTGAGGTCCGTGCAGTGCCCTCCAGGGAAACCGAGGCACAGCAAGACCGAGGTCCGTGGCTGGCAGGTCGCAGCCCTCCGCCTCCCGGAGACTCGCTCTCGACTTCAGATCTGGCCTTGCTCATCCCTGGCACCATCTAAAAGACGGTGCGTCCTTTCTTGCTTGGTTCTGTAGAGGTAGTGGGTGCAGGAAGGGTGGCCCAGTCCCTCCTGCCTGCCCTCCCGACTCTTCATGTGTGGGTGGGAGGGGTTGGCTGGTACCCGGGCAGCCCAGCAGTCCCTCAGTGGGAGTGGTGCCGTTCTGCTGTGGAGTGGCCGTCTCTGAGAACGGCCTTGCTGCGAAGTGTCAGGACAGAGATCTGCGCCGCTCAGGCCCCTGGCCTCCTGCTCTTACCAAACACCCGAGAGAAGGCCGCGGGGGGCTGCCAGAACCCCACCCTGATGGGGGCAGCGGAGCCCTGGCGCCTGCGGCTGGCTCCTCCCTGCCACTTTAATAATCAAATACCTGGGGAGGGAGGGAAGTGTGGGCCTTCCTCTCCTTTAATGTCTGTGCCATTAGCACAGAAAGTGAGGGGATCTGGGAGGGGCAGACCCCTCTGGGAGTCTCGGGGCCTGTGGGAGAAAAGGCCAACTTCCCAGCAAGACTGCAAAGGTCTGCACCAGGCCCCAGAGCCTGGACCAGCCCGAAGCTCACCCCTCGCTCCGCTGCAGCGCGGTGAGGCTGATGCCGCCTCGGACCGTGGCCCAGCTCATCCGACTGCTCATCACTCACGGGCCCCGGGACCTGAGCGCTCAGGCTGGCCCCGGGCAGGGAGGGCCCTTCCAGGGGTCAGCTCCCTGTGGGGACTCAGGACTGGAGGCTTGGGCTCCTGAGAGGAGAGTGGCTTCCCAGGAAGTGGGACTCACTGGCCCTGGGCCAGTCCGGGCGACCTTCAGCACTGGGAGGCCTTTCTGTCCATGTGGAGGGAGATGCCTGAGTGGGCCCCAGCCCTGCCCCTGAGGGGACCCCAGCCCTGCTGCTGCTGGGTGTCCTCGGTGATCACCTGCCAGGCTGGAGACCCCTCATCTGACCCCTTGCCTCTGGGATTCACTGAGCAGCACGGGGAGATGGGGAGGGTGGTGGGGCTCGTGGGGGACGCGGCGTGGGGGGCGCGGCGTGGGGGACGCGGCGTGGGGGACGCAGCGCGGGGCAGGTGGCACAGCCCTTCCTCACCTGAGGCCCGTGGGACCACAGCTCCTTCCGTCCTCACACAGTCCCTTCTCCCCAGAGCTCGGGGCCTGGCTGGGAGGACCAGGGGGACTGTCAGAGAGCAGAGACAGTCCATGGCCAGAGTGGACAGGAAGGTCAAGTCGGTGCCTGGGCGTGGGCCATCAGGCTCCTGGGCTTGGTGGGGTCGGCCCCGCGAGGGCCCAGGTTAAGGCAGGGCAGGTCGAGGTGTGTGAGTGGGGTGTTGGGGGCCGGCCGGCAGGCATGCCTTCCTCCTCTGCTCCTGGCTCAGAGAAGGGGCCCCACCCCATCCGCGACGCTTCCTGACTGGCCACCTCTGCCTCTGCCTTGGGCTCTCTCCTCAGGCCTCAGAGTGAGCAAGTTCCCTCGAGAATCTCCCCAGAGAATCCCAGGCTAGACCAGGTGCCCAGGATGTCCTCTGTGGGGGCTGAGCAGAGGCCTGGTCCAGGTACTGCCCATACGGTCCACAGGGGCCTGCCCTCCAGCCTGGCCCAGGTGGCACCCTGGAAGGGCTCCCAGCCAGCTGCAGGAGCACAGAGAGGTGTCCAGGCATAGGGGCCAGCCCCTGCCTGGGGGTCAGGGCAGAGGGGGACATTCTGCAGGGAGGAGCAGTAGGAAGGGATGCAGCCACTCACTCCAGGGAGCCCCCGTGGGGCCACTGTGTCCCTCCTGGAGAGGGACGATGTCAGTCCATGCAGGGCTGAACTAGAATACGTGGACAGGTTTCCCGGGTCGGGACCGGCACTCACTCTGGCAACCACCAGGAAAGGGGCGGGCACGCCTCAGGGAAGACAGAAGCAGCCCGAAGACCAGGCTTGGGGCAGGAGGACAGGAGCAGATGGCCCTGGAGAGCCAGCAGGGAGGCCGGGCCAGTGCCCCTGCCCTTGGCCGTCCTCGCTGTGGGAGACAGAGGACTCGGGCATTCAGCCTGCCTCGCGGCAAGGTACAAAACGTTTATTGGTGACACTTCATTGTCTTACAGAACTCCCTGTGGCTACATGGGGCCACTGTGCTTGTTGGGCACCACAGTGCCAGTCCCCAGGCGACAGGACAGAGCCAGAGCCCACTTCTGGGTGGTGCTAGAGCCCAGGGACTCGGTCCAGGAACTGCCCATATGGTCCACAGTGGCCTGGAGGACACAGAGTGCTTGGGAGGCTGCCCAGGGCTGGCCAGGCACAGAGTTAGAAAAGGCCGTCCTTCCGGTCTCGAGTGGCCCCAGGGCCAGGCGTTTCCCCATTAAAGTCACCAACTGACTCACCAAGGGGACAGGGATGTTGTTTGCAGAAAGATCTGGCTGCAAGGCCATGAAGGGACACCTCTCCCAGGTAGCACCGTTGGGTTCAGGTCAGCTCATGCTCCGCCCTGGGGACGGAATCTCGAGAGCAGTCCACCCCTGGGGACGAGGCTGTAGGGCAGGAGGTGGCGGGGCTGCGGCCACCTCCTCCCCTGTGCCGACCAGCCCAGGGCGAGGAGGGCCCCACCGCGTGGGGTGACTTTGGTATCGTGGGTCACTGAGGCAGAGTGGCTGGGGGTGCTGGTGGCTGCTCGGCCTCTTGGCCACCCCCAGGGCCTCCATCCCTGGGAGAAGGAGGCAGGAGGGGCCGAGCCAGATGGTCCTCCCACGCGGGCACCGAGGCAGGTGCCTGTTCCTGTCGGTGGCAAAGAGTCTCTGGAGGCCAGGGTCCACGTCGCAGGCCTCTCAGGAGGCATTCCCAGAGGGGCACTGCATCTCCATGGTGACCGTGTTGGGCGTGCCGCCTGCAGCCTCCCCCAGCTCGGCGCCGTCCCTCAGGGCCCTCTGGAAGACCACCCTGAGAGGCTCCCACAGCCGCTGCGACTTGTCCCTCCCGGCCAGGAAGTAGACCATGGGCTTGGCACTGCTGTTGATGCAGATGCACAGGTCGGTGACGTACTCGGGGAACGGGGCCGGGATCTGGAAGACCCAGAAGAGGAACCAGTCGATCCCCAAGTAGATGGAGGACACGAGGAAGACGGAGACCATGGCCAGCACCACGTGGTTGAGTTTGGCTGACCGCTGGCGCCTCCGTGCCCGGCACTCCACGTGCAAGATGAGGGCCAGGCAGGGCAGCACCATGAGTGGGCAGAAGACCAGGAAGAGGATGATGCCCAGGGCGATGTCCATGTGCCTGCAGGCTGCCCCGGAGTCTGCGTGGCCCAGGAACACACAGAAGTAGTTGTGAATTCCAGTGACCAGCAGGGACAGGAGCCAGAGCAGGGCGCACACCACGGCCGACAGGCGCTTGGGCCGCCGGCGCCAGTACCAGGCAGGAAAGATGACGGACACACTGCGCTCTGTGCTGATGGCCGGCAGGAGGCTCACGCCGCCAACGAAGGCGCAGAGCCCCACGACCCGGGACACGCTGCGGACGAAGTCGGCGAAGGTGCCCAGAAAGGCCCCCGCGTTCAGGAGGGAGAACAGGGCCTTGCTGAAGAGGTAAGCGCTGTCGGCGCTGGCCAGGTGCAGGAAGTAGGTGGAGAAGGGGGTCCTCTTGATGGAGAAGCCGAAAAACCAGAGGACCAGCCCGTTGCCCACCAGGCCGCACAGGCAGAGCAGCAGGAAGATGTAGTTCATGACGGCCGGCGGGGGCAGCATGGCGATCTGCTCGATGGTCAGGAAGCCGCGGCTGTAGAGCTCCGGGGCCTCGCTCAGGCCGGGACACATCTGTGCAGGGGTGGAGGGGAGACGCCTGGTGGTGCTGGCTGCCCTCCCCCTCCACGGAGACCTGCACCTGTGGCCCCACCTGGTGGTCCCCACCAGACACTTGGGTCCAAGGTCTGTAGGGCCACTGGCTCTGATGGCAACCAGAGCAGAATACAGCCCACCGGAGGCTCACGCTGTTCCCGAGTCTAGAGCTCACAGCACGGAGTGGCCAGTCTCCAGGAGGGACGCCACGGCTGTCAGCCACCTGTAAGCACTCTAGGCCTGCCACGGTCAGAATGGACTCTCCCAAAAATGTCCATGTCGTAGAAGAAGGGACTGTTATCATAGAATAAGGGAATAAGGGAAAACTGAGGGCACTTTCTGGATGCAAGGAGAACAAAGAGCCGCGACCCACTCTGCAGGCTGGGATCCAAACGCCCGGGACCTAGACCACTGCATTGTCCGGCCACTCGGAGAGCTCAGGATGTGGGCGTGGATTGCATCAGTGTTACGTTTCCTGAACCTGGACCTGTGCTCTGGCCTTGTTCTCAGACCAGTCTGGCTATTTGAAGGCAGAGGGAGTTGGTGTCTGCCGGTTATTTTGGGGTGATTCTGGGGTACACAGCACATTCAGCATAAGATCAGCAATGGAGGAAGGGAGGGAGGGACTTAGTAGGTAGCCTCCTGTTCCTGCAATTTTCTTGCATTGTTTCAAAACTAAAAAGTGAAAATACTTATTTCTAAGGAAATTAAAATCACTTGTAAAAAAAAAAAGTGGAGTGGAACTTGGAGCAGGACCCAGTTCCACGGTGGGGCCAGGGAGAACTGGGGATCAGAGGTGGTGCCCTGTGGGCTGGGGCTGCTCTTCGGGGGGCTCTGGATTGTGGGAAAGCCCGGGGGGTCTCTGGCAGGGGGTGGGGCCTGCGGCAGCAGCCACAGGAAGCACTTCAGTATTTTACAACTGTTTTGCCTAAAATGGTGCCGCCCAGCGGACACCAGTCCTGTCCGCAGGGCTTGGGTTGGTGGGTACCCATCCCGGTCAAGGTGGGCAGCCTGCTCTGCTCCAGCCAGCGGGTGCCAGGGGCCAGGCTAGTGGGGCCGGTCCCCCTCTCGCCTTCCCAGAGAAGCCAAACACCCTGAGCTTTCTGTTGAGCACTTAAAATGACCGTGCCGGCCAAACACAGCCCATCAGGGTGGCTTTTGACCTCTCCTTCCTAGTGGCGAAGGTGCCCCAGCAAGCCCCTTCCCTACACCCCTGCAGACATTATCAACCCACACCAGCTCTCTCCCAAAGGCTGGTACCCACTCCCGTCCCCCAACAAAACAAGGGACCCTTTCTGCCACTTTCCAGATGGCTCTGGCCGGAAGCAGGATCCAGAGAAATCGCTCTTGACTTCCGCTAACCAAGGGTGGGGTCTTCTGGCCCGGACCCCTCAAGGGATTCTGTAAACAGGAACTGGAGGTGTTGGCAGAACTTGGGGAGGCCCTCGGAGGTCAGGGAAAGTCCTTTATGGGGTCCTGCCCACCACCAAACACAGCACAGCTCTACCTGCCACTGTTGACCACCAATCCCACTCTTCAGCTTGCCCTCTGCTTCCTTTCCTGGGGTGACTTTGAGAACTACAGTCTTGGGAGTTCCACTCAGTAGGGACACACTCAGGATCTGGAAGGTCCAGGGGAGACTAGCTCTGCCACTGGGAGGTGGACAGAGCCATGTCAGAGCACTCCAGCCTTTGCCAGCTGGAAAAATCGTGCAATCCCCTCCTTGAAGGGGAGGGGGGCGGCTGAGTCACTGGGTGGGAGCTGTTCCCAGCCACACAAGGCCCTTGTGAAAGGCCCGCTCTGGAGCCTGCCCCCTCCCTGAGCGCTGTCTCTGCTCCGGGGACTCCTGGACACGCCCCCAGCACACCCAATCTCTGCCTCCTGGGCGGCCAACATTTCACAGTGGGCACCCTGGGGAGAAGGGATAGAGGCTAGGGCCAGGGTCGGATCCCAGGAGCTGGCCTGGGCAGGGGACAGGTTACTGCCCTGCTGTGAGCCTCAGTTTCTTCAGTGAGGAGGTTGGAGCCGGTCAGTTCCAGGGATCCTTCCAGTCGGAGAGTATGCTACCCAGGATTCTGAAGAAAATTCCAGACTTTTCAAGGGGGGGGGGAGGGCAGGAGGTGGTGGGTCAGCCTGAAGGGCTTGTCAGAGTCTCAGGAGGGCTAGTGCCTATAGATGGGGGTAGCCCAGAGTGGACACAGCTCTGTGGAGCACATGACATCGGGGTCACCTAGGAGCCAGCAGGCAGGCCTTCCGGGCAAGCCCTGGCCATCGTAATGGCTGACTGCCCCCTCTGCAGGGCAGGCAAGGGGCAAAGGATGGCCAAGGGTCAGCATCAGGGGGGACTTCCAGTGACCCAGTGCCTTTGCTCACCTCCCTGAAGGGACACTGGGATCCTGGGGACTGGTGACCACTGCCAGCCCCATGCCCACCAAAGTGCAGAGTTGGAGAGTGGCCTGGGAGGCAGGTGTGGGAGGATCTCTTGTCCCCACCTGCCGTCTCCTGGCAGGCCAGTGGCCTCCTCTGCCGGGTGGCACTTACCTTGTTCCTGCTGGTGGCATGGGCCTCCCAGGAGCAGTTCCCAGCCATCTCCAGGCTCGGAGGGTCCAGGTCCCTGCTCGCAGCTCACCGGCTGGCACGCCCACCTGGCACCTGGCCACAGCCCGGGGAGAGGGTGAAATGAGGACAGTGGGTCTGACTCCTTCTGAAATGCCCCCATCCCACCTCCCAGCCCCGTCCCCAGGCCCTGGGCTCTCACCTTGGCGGAAAGGCCATCCCCAGCTCTGAAGAAGGGCTTGGCAGGACTGTCCTGCGAGCGCAGCCCTCCTGCCCGAGGACCCCTCACACAGACCCTCGGGGCCCCTTGGAGCCACTGTGGCTCACTAGGGAGGAAGCCCCCTCACCCCGACCCCCTCCACTTGGTCTGCGAGGTTTCGGAGCCAGACTGCTCTGGAGGTACGTTTCCGAGCACCTCCATGTGTCCTGGCCCTGGGTGGCAGGGGAGGGGCGCGGTGAGGTCAGGCAGGTCGTTTTGGCAGGGAGACTTCCTGGAGGACGAGGTCTTTGTCTGGGCCTTGATCTGGCCTTTCCCCTAAAGGTTCCTGGAAGGCACAGCTTCGCCCCCACCACCAACCCCAGCTCCCCGGATGCTGGCTGAGCACCTGCCGCCCCACCTCCCCCTTGTGGGGTGTGGCCTATTACCAGCTGCAGGGCAGCTGCCCTCATTCCCCTTTGGTAGGTGACCTAGGGTCCAGGGGTGAGGTCACTCTCCAGCGGCCAGCACATGTGTCTATTGTTGGGGCTGCAGCTGCGACGGAGGAGAGGGGTGATTGGGGAGCGAGCCAGGAGGCCAGGCCGTGGCCCTGACTCCGGCGGGTGGGGGGAGGCCTCGGGCTGCCAATCATGAGCCTGGGAGGGGGGTGAGCTGGGGGGGACGACCCAGCAGGAGACTGGTCCACCCTGGTTGGCCACAGATCATGGGTCTGCCTACCCCATGTCTGCTAAAAGTGACCTGTCCCTCAACCAGATCTCCTATCGCTCCCCCCCCCAGGAAGTGGGGAAACTGAGGTCGAGGGTGAGAAAAGGCCTTGTCAGGGGACAGTGCAGCCACAGGTGGCCAGAGCCCTCCCCTCCCCGGAGGGACTGCTGGGCAGTGCGGTGGCCTCCACTCCCCAGAAATTCCTTCCTCTGCAGGTCCACCCGGCTGGCTGCAGCCGCCACCTCCTCCCCTCTCCGCCTGTCCCAGCTGGGCTGTGAGTCACTGGCTGCAAAGGGTGTCCATCTGTGCAAGCCGCCCGCCCCTTCTTTAACCCTTGGCCTCCAGGATCTGGTGGGAACCCTGCCACCCCGAGGCCAAAGCTGTGCAGCGGGGTGTGGAGGGCCCAGCACGGCCCCAGGCCTGCGCCCACCTCAGGTCTCCTGCCCTCCTGCCCCAGGCTGCGGGTGCGCCCTGGAGCTTGTGGAGGCACCTGTGCCTGGAGTGGCTCAGTGCGGGGCCTACGTGGTCACGGTGGGAGCCCCTGTGTGTGGTGCCACGCACAGATCCTGGTGCTGGGCAGTGGGCATCTTCACCCCCCGCCTCAAGGCACCGCCTAACTCCAGTTGGTCCACTGTCCATGGCCAGGGACAGGCTGCATGCTCCCCACGGGGAGCCTGCCCAGACTTTCCCCTGCCTGCACCCCAGACCCACCCGGCCCCAGGTAAGCCACCTCCGCTTCCCCCCTTGCTCCCAGCCCTCTCGAGGCCCTTCCAGAGCCTTCCACACCAGGCCCTCAGCTCCCCTGGGGGAAACCTGGACCCAGGAAAGTGTCACCTTTCACGCTGGTCAGGCTGGACCCTGGGGCGGAGGGCTGGCCCGTCCACAGCACAGGCTAGCATGCCGGAGAGCCCCTGCCCACACGCTGATGGAACTGACCGTCTGTGTCCCCTGGTCCTGGCCCTACCAGGATACGCCCAGCGACTTCACTGACGCGCAGAGAGATCTAGCAGCCCAGACGGGCCACATTAAGGACATATGTGTGACATGTGTAGGGACGTGTGGAGTGCGTGTGCTGCGTGTTGATCAGCGCTGGCTTCAACCACAGCTGACCAGGAAGCTGCCAGCCCAGCACCCCCTGCCCCTGCCTGCACTCCCCTCCAAACAAGGACAGTGCAGCCACTGCCTGCTTCCCCCAGCCTGGCTCACCCCAGCCCTCCAGGACCCAGAGCCTCTGGTTTCCCCCTGGCAGCCGCCTGGGCTGGGCCTGAGGGCACTGGTCATTGGAGGGGCTGTCTGACGCTGCCCTTGACACACAGAGAGCCTGTCTCCCACTCTAGGACCCGGGTCCCTGCTGATAGCTGGATCTAAGGGGCTCATCCAAGGGGCTCATCCAAGGGGATGGAGACCTGGCAGAACGTGGCAGGGACTTCCTCAGTGGACCCCACGCTGTGCCAGGCTCCGCCAGCCTGGGAAAAGGTGGGACCCAGCTGCCCAGCCTCCTGACCCCAGCATGTCCACTGTGGGGCTGACCCTGCAGCTGCTCCAGCCCGGACTCAGCCTCGCAGAAGCTGGTGTGCCTGGGAGCGCAGGAGCCCTCTCCTCTTGCTGGGATGCTGCCCGCTGGGTGTTCCCTGCTAGCCCTTCCAGAACGCTCTCTTGGACGTGAAGTTGGGGGAGGGACGGGAAGCCCCCACCCACAGGAGGACAGAGCAGGGGCCGGCTGCTGAGGCCGGCTTGGGGCTGGGGGTTGGGGGAGGCCAGCTGGCCAGGGCATGGTCACACAGGAGGGGACTCTCAAAGTTCCTGGCTGTCCCTGAGAGCCCTGCAGCCTCTGAGTGGCGGGAGAGACCTCCTGGTGGGTGACAGCCTTGGCATCTCAGGGCTTCCTGATTCAAGAGGTGGATTTCTGGGAGCCTCCTGCCCTGAAGACGTCCACCTCATTTTTCTTCCCTGCCTGGCCTTCACCCTACAGACCCCCTTTCCCCGAGCCCCTCCCTCGGTCCCTGGACACAGGGAGCTACCTGCCGCTGTCCTGGTCCTCGGAGTCCTTCCCTTTGTGACGGGCTCCTCCTGAGATCCCTGCCTCCGCCTGGCGGACCCAGCAGGGCAGCAGGCCAGCCAAGCGCTGCCCGAGCCTCGGGAACGTGAGCTTGGTGGAGGACGGGACGAGCCCTTGCCTGCTGCAGGAGATGGCTTTGGAAGCAGAACCCGCCCCAAACCCAATTCCAGGCCCGGCAGGAGGGGGAGGGGAGGGGGGAGGAGGAGGGGCTGCTCTCGATGAGGCTTCGGGAAGGAATGCCCCGCTCAGGAGCCCCCCCAGAGCCCCACGGGGGACTCATCTTTTTGCCTGGTGACGTCAGGTTGGCCCAAGTGCTGAGCACTGCGGCCGGAGTCCAGCTGTTAACCTCCCTTGTATCCTACGGCCCCCCAAATCTGTCCTGTCCTGCAGAGGGAGCTCTGCTGTCCACTGGCCTGGCGCCCTGGGTCTGCTCCCAGTGGGCATTTTGGGGTGGATGGGCGGTCCCCACCCTGCCGTCTCCACTGGGGGAGGGGCTGGCTTGGGGAAGCTGGGCGCACAGAGGAGAGGGCTCCCTGGCGGAGGCGCATAGTCCATGGAGGGACTGCAGCACCCCCAGGTGGCGTCCAGGTCCACTCCCCCTGCCCACCCTGGAATGTGCTGGGGAGGCCCCCTGTGGCCTTCTGGAACCAGGAATTCCCTTTCCCAGCCCTAATAGCAATCAGATGGAGTAAGTGGAAAATCACCGCCCGCCCGGGGCGAGCAGGGGAGCTGGCGGCCGCGGGGCCTGGTGCGTGCGCTGCTCAGCGGGATGAGTCAGCCTCCCCCAGAGAGGGGGTCCTGGAACGTGTCCGTGGTCCGGGCACCCAGCCCAAAACGGGGAGCAGGAGGGTGGGCCGTCAGTGCTGGTGGTGAGCCCTTCAGAGGCACCAAGAAATGACTCTCCTGCCCTGGGCCCACTTTCTCATGGCCCCGGAGCCCCAGGGAATTCCGTTTTCCCTGCCTGAGCAAATGCTGCCCAGGCGGGGCTGTGGGCCCCTGTGGGCGTCTTACCCAAACCGCAAGAGACTCTCCCTGCACCTGCCCCAGCCTCCAGCTTCCCGCCCCAGAGCAAGAGGAGGACGGAGCCTGAGACTGGGGTCTCCTGGGGTCTCCTGGGGGTGGGGCGCTCTGAGAGTCTGGGGATACCCAGACCCCACCCGAGGCCCACAGAGGCTGGGCAGGCAGGGTGGTGACCTGTTGGCCTCCCCCAGGGCAGCAGCTGGGGCCCAGCTGGGCCGCTTGTTTACACGGGGAGGCCGGGGGAGGCCAGGGAGGCTGAAGCCAGTCAAGTTCCAAGTGTAATTGCTTTTGGACACTTAAAAGGAGCTGCGTGAAGTGGGCAGAGGCTCTGGACTCCGCCGCCTTATTTGGTATGGAAATTTGTTTCCTTCTAAACCCGAGAGAGGTGCTTCGGATGGGAGCGGCGCCTTTGCCTGGGCCGCTGTGTCCCGTTTGCCACAGTCAGGTCCGGGGACCCAGTCCTCGCAGTTCCCTGTCTGCTGAGGGCCCCACTCCTGGTCTGCAGAGGGTGCCTTCTCCTGGTGACCTGGGCTCTCTGGGGTCCCTTTTACAAGGGCATCAGCCCCCCTCAGGACAGCTCCACCCTTGTGGCCTAGTCACCCCCAAAGCCTGTCTTCTAATGCCACCATCTTGGGGGGAGGGTTCCAACACTGGAATTTGGGGGCACTTCCCGGGCCTTGGTTTCCTCGTGAAGCGGTGCCCTGGCTCCGTGTGTGGGACTGCTCACTCGCCCACCAGTTGTGAGGTGTCCAGTCCAGGGCCAGCCCACGTGGTGACCTAGACACAGGCCCTGCTCTACTGGCTTTCATAATCTGTCCCCAGGCTCTAAATGGCAACCACCTGCCATCCAGTGCCCTCCCTGCCCCTCCCAGTAGAAAGGACCTTGATTTTTAACACATCCATCAGTCACCCACCCACACACCCACCCTTCCATCCACAGGCACTCCTATCCTCCCATCACCCAGCATCCATCCATCCACGTTTCTAGCCATGGCCCACTCGTCCATCCATCCATCCATCCATCCATCCACCTATCTAGCCACGGCCCACTCGTCCATCCATCCATCCATCCACCTATCTAGCCACGACCCACTCGTCCATCCATCCATCCATCCACCTATCTAGCCACGACCCACTCGTCCATCCATCCATCCATCCACATATCTAGGCACGACCCAGTTGTCCATCCATCCATCCATCCACATATCTAGCCACGACCCAGTTGTCCATCCATCCATCCATCCACCTATCTAGCCACGACCCACTCGTCCATCCATCCATCCATCCACATATCTAGCCACGACCCAGTCGTCCATCCA